AATTTTGAAACAATGACAAAAAAAACCCCAAAGTCACACACATTATGGACTATTTACCTGCTAATTCTTTCTTTCATCAAAGCTGCTCCTGCATACAAAAGCGTAATAAAAATCCCCATACTGCTAAGAACTAGTAAACAGTTTTCTTCACTTGCATAAACAAGAAAACTCAAACAAATAAAAAGGCCAAGGATTGTCCCTGGCCAAGAACTGGTTAACTAGTTTGAAACTATGCTCAAGACTTCTTGAAAACATATTTGTCTTTCAGCCAAACAATACTGTTAATGTTAAAGTAACGCAAATGCTTTGCTTTAAAAATGTGCTTTTTCTGTTCACAGAGAAACAGTAGTGTAAAAATAAATCATCCATGAAGCATATTTTCATTTTTAATTTTTTCCTTTGATAGATCAGTTGCTTCAAAATCCCTTAACAACCAAGGGAAAAAAAAAAGTTACAGGGTTCACATTTTAAAGATTGTCGATTGTATAGACCAAATGTTGCTAACCCACAGAAAGATTTACGGGCCACTTCTGTCACAACCCAAACCCACTGGATTCTATTAACGTGAAGTAAATATCTTTATAGTAGTCTACAAGGTTGGTAAGGCATTTCACTGCTTTCTCACACCTTGCTTTTCTCTGGCAAAACCAGCTGTGATCACTCAGCAGGTCCTAAAGAACTAAGTCACAAAAAAGGAACAGATTTTCTATTTCCAGGTGACAAGAATGAACAAATAACATGATTTGGGCAATCACTTAAAAGCACATTAGTGCCAATTTTACTACGTTTTACACTGGATGATCAAGTTACTTTAGGACTTAAAAATTAAACAACCCAAAACCTATTTGAAGGAGCTTAGCAAGCCCAGGGCAGGGCTGGGGGTGGGGAAGGAATCCACACTGAGTTTGAGTTTGGCAAAACGAACCTGCTTTACTCTTCAGCTACGCTGAACAGTAAAGACCAAAGTGTATTCAGCATGAGGCTGATCATTTGATCATTTGCACACTACAACTAAACGTGCATTTTCACGGATATGCTCTGTTTTTAGGAGATGGTGAGAGTTTGAATTTATTATTAGGAAACCAAAACATTTCACTTAATTGTTTAACATGCGAGATTTTCATGAGGGAATGAAGGTTAGTTACATTTCCAACAGGATTTCAAAACTACATTTTGCCTATTCAACTCTAAAAATTAAGCTGAATATAAGGCTGAAAGGTTTAAAAGACTAATCAAAGTAACAGAAGTCAGAAAGACAATAACAGTACAGCACCTAAAAATGGGCAATTCACACATTTTTGACATTTATGTCTTGCATAGACAAATATTCATTTTTTTTTCCTCCCAAGACAACTCAGCTTCAGAAAATAAATCTTAAATCAACTTCAATTACTATTAAATGCATGTGTTCCAATTTTTCAAAATAACCAGGGTGGTTTAGGTTTTTGTTTAAGTGCTACAAGTCTAATGGTTTTATGAAACTATCATCCATTGGAAAGACTTTATTTCACCCTTTGGGCTGTCAAGTTCCTAACGTCAGGAAGCTGAACTGCCTTCTAATTCTTTTTCCACGTGATTAGAGAAGCAAATAGATACATTATTCATGCATTAAGTCTTTGTGACCTTACTCCACCAGAATATCCATAAGCCCGAAGCTACTTTTAAAGCACAGGAACTGGGAACTCTTAACTCCTCAGTACAGGTCTGCCTTCTGGCCACATTTTGAACATCAAAACAATATGTGGTGCACACCAGGTCAACGCAAATTCCTGCCCTTCTAAGCCCTTTGTCCATACCCTGGTTTCCACTGGAAGAAAACCTAAGTATGCAGGCAAGACAAAGTTGGAGGGTTCTCCGAAAGGTTCCTAATAGTGATCAGGGACCAGAACAAGGAACCAATTCTCTTGCAGGTAAATGCAGCCCAACATGCACCCTTACAGAGTTTCCATGAGGTCAGCAAGACTCCACTTTAATCCAATATCCAGATCTAGGAAACTCTCTGCAGAGCCAGAGCTATGCCTGTTGATTCTAAATGTTTTCCAACATGATTATTTCTTTGGAACTGTATTTTCAAAATATATCCCGATCAATTTGGAATTGATTTACTAAAACACAATGTTTCTAAAGTTAAAGAACAACCAGCAATTGCCTTGCCTGTTACAGAAATCTTGGAAAAATTGGACTGAGAACCCTGTTGTGGGTTAATGATCTAGATTACATAGAAAACAAATTAAAAGTTTCAATAACCATAATTGCAGGAGAATTACATTGATTTTAAAAACAAATTAGTTCTATTGCATATTAATATGACTTCAATTGGGGGCAGGGGGGGATTATACATGGGTTTAAAGTTAGGCCCCCTATAAAGACTTTTTAACTAATGCAAACATGTACCTTTCCTGAATAGTTGTGCTGGTTTTGGCTGGGATAGAGTTAATTTTCTTCATAGCAGCTGGTATGGGGCTATGTTTTAGATTTGTGCTGAAAACAGTGTCAATAATTCAGGGATGTTTTAGTTATTGCTGAGCGGTGCTTACACAGCGTCAAGGCCTTTTCTGCTTCTCACCCCACCAGCGAGGAGGCTGGGGGTGCCCAAAAAGTGGGGAGGGGACACAGCTGGGACAGCTGACCCCAACTGACCCAAGGGATATTCCAGACCATATGACATCATGCTCAGCACATAAAGCTGGGGGAAGAAGAAGGAAGGGGGGGGGACACGACATTTGGAGTGATGGCATTTGTCTTTCAAAGTAACTGTTACACATGGTGGAGGCCTGCTTTCCTGGAGATGGCTGAACACCTGCCTGCCCATGGGATGTGGGGAATGAATTCCTTGTTTTGCTTTGCTTGTGTGCGTAGCTTTTGCTTTACCTATTAAACTGTCTTTATCTCAACTCACAAGTTTTCTCACTTTTACTCTTCCAATTCTCTCCCCCATTCTGATGTGGTGCAAGTGAGCAAGCGGCTGTGTGGTGCTTAGTTGCTGGCTGGGGTTAGACCACAACAATAGTGATGCTTTGCTTAAACCAGCAATCTTTCTTACACAGCAAAAAAGGAGGACACTTTTAAAAAAAAAAAAATCATGAAAAGAACAAGAATTTCTGTGCAGTTCATACCACTACAGAATTCTCACTGAATTAAAAGACAAGGTTTGAGTTCCATATATTAGGCAATACCTTTGATTAACTTGGTAAAGCCTTTTCAGTTTTAGGAATTGACGTTCCTATGTTTTTATGTTTCTAATTTGACAATAAAACTACTCCGTATTCCCTCTTTCACAATAAATTCTGCCAACTTCACTTTCCAGATATTGATAAACTTGCTGAAGATAAGGCTGCAAATGTTTCAGAAAAATAAAACTGCTGCAGGTAAGGTGGGGCGAATAAAAAAACCTAACCAGATAACAGTTTCTTTCTGATAAATAAACTTTCAGAAGTTTACAAACCCTGATGCCTTGTTGTTTCCTATTGAGTTCCAAGTGGCACATAAACTACATATTCCTGAACCCTCTTCCAGCTAGCTGTATAGATATTAAATTGTCTTAATACCCTCTCTCTTTTTAAGATCAGTTCTCATAGTTTCCAAGCGTGGGCAAGTGCCCATTGCCACATTATCTCCAAACCACACAAGTTTTGCCCATTTTGGTTTACCCTTCCCTTTGCTGCTGGCTACTTGCTACCCCAAACAAGTCTGCCAGCTGAGGTGCTTCCTAAACTACTTCAAAGCAGGCTGGGGAAAGCTCTGCTGATAGATCTGAGGCAGCAACAACTGGTCAGGGAGGGAAAGGAGACAGTGAGAAATGGCCTGTTCCTCCAGCATAGGTTGATTTGGAAAAGCTCATATTTGTGCATAGGCCTGTATGCACCAAGAAGTAGACTATTCATCTGCCTACGTGCTAGAAGTACAAGGATTAACACACTATTAAACGTGAACAAAGGTAGCTGAATAAAAACCCCCAACAAACCAACATATATAACCTACTATATAATGGAAACTGTGAGGGCGATGAAGCACTTAGAGTTAAGAAAAATACAGAATCTGTCTCTCAGTTCTAGTCATCTCAGGTACCCTTTGTAGGAGCAGTAGGCTGAATGTTTCCAAATGAGCATGATTTGTCTTTAAATGTTTTGGGGTCAAGCTAGATTTGACAATAGCCTTTGAGATAGTTATGCTATGTCAAAGCCTTCCTAATTAAATCTTTCATTATTCATTTACTATGCTCTTTAAAAAACATGGCACATTAGCGGCAAAGCAGAGAAGTTAGAAGAAAACACATTCTTTAGAAATTACCACTCCAGCTGGAGTAGATCATTACAGCACTTGAACTAAGCAGCAACATCCTCAGCCAGAAATAAGTGAAAGCCAGAGCAGAAACATCACTTGTGTTGAGTAAAACCCAACGCCAATTTTTCAAAATAGCTACTAGTCACTGAAAACTAGTATTCTCCACATATGTACGCCAATGCTACTGACATTTATTTTTGAAGTTTTTCTTCACACCAACTTATGCTTGCCTTGAAAGACAATCTTTAAAGACCAGCTTCCAACCATTTAAGCATGTCGAAAAGTACATGCATTAATCCTGCTGAAATCAATGGGACCTAAGCACATGCCTGAGTGTTTTGTGAAGCAGAAATTAAGTATTCAATTAAATATTTGCATCTGTCAAAGGACTTTGTTCAAATACAATATCTAAAGATTCTGAAAGCTAACTTTTTTTTCCTTGTCACGTTAGAAACGCAACTAGATTTGGTCTAAATCAGAAGGAAGTTCTGGCCTTGATCTAACCCAGCATTGTGACAAACAGACAAGGGGAAAAGAGGACGTTGATCATACCATGAGACTCTTGGAGTCTGTTATTTGTACTTAACAACAGTAAATACAGAGTTCCAAAAGTAAGTCTTCATGGACAGACAAACACAGACTCCAAACTTTGGGAAAAAAAAAAAAAAAAAGTTTCCCCCAAAAAAAAAAAAACCCCCAACCAAAAAAAAAAAAAAAGCATTGTCATCACTACCTCTTAGTTTTTAAATGACACACAAGGATTTCTACTCTAATAAAGCCTGCTGTATAATCTGGTAGTATCCTTCAGATCTGAAGAAATTTTATATAAATCCATAAGTTATATTTCTTTTTGTATTAGGGGAAAATATTTAAAATGCAATATAATAGCAGAGTGATAGCAGAATTCATGAGCATATAGTAGGCAACTTTTCATTTTTCAGATTCAGTTGTACAAACTATAAACTGCTAAATTTCTCTAATAACTGGAAAAATTGTGGGTATTTGAATTTACTTACCTGAATACTCATTTAGCAAATATCTTCAGATACAAGTCTAGACACAGAGTTAATGTAATCTGAATATTAGTTTACACATAATATAAATCAATGTTTGACAATATCAAAATCCCATCAAACAGTGGGCTGTTCTTATGCTATTATCAAATATAATATATCACTGTGGGATAGCTGAGAATCATAGAATGCTAGCGTAGGCTTGTTTATTAAATTTGGTCAGTTTTCAGACCTTCCAAATAGGAATACTAAATATTTATTTTTTCCCCTCTGGAAATTCTTTTTTTTTTTTTTTCCCCGTCCTGCTTAATACAGTCGTCATCCCAATTCCTAGTGAATTTATAAAAATATTTTTTATCCAATAACCCCAGCAAGGTAAAAATAGGAGTTTTTATAGCAAATGATAAACAGGCTCACAGACTATGAGAGAAACTAAACTTATTTAAATTGCCATACATTCGCTACTGAATCACACATCAACATTTTCTTTTTATGTGTGTTGCTGTCCACCTCAGACTAGCAGTTTTTAAGGTGCAGAAGCATCTTTCAAATATATGCATCTAACTTAACGATCAAGTTCCACACACTAGTGTCACATGCTTTAAATTTACATCACCTGCCCATCAAGAGCTGTGTTAAATAACAGCACTAATTGAAACTGCATAATTCTTTAGAAATTGCAGCACTTCCAATTCATATAACAAAGGGGTGCTTATGTGGTTCTTTATATTACTAGATAAAATTTTCTGAAATAAGAAATGAAAAAACACATTTGAAAGAAGTTGCTGCACCTGCAAAAACACTCTTTAAGCTTACTATGAAATACAAAAAAGTGCACCCTTCTATATCTACATATAAAACATATTAGAAATAAAACTTGTGTAAAATGTTTGCTGTGCAAACTATAAAAACAGTCAGTCAGTCAGTCCATTCTTTTTCCTAAACATTTTGTCACACTCTCTTGCTTCCTACTGCAGAGAATCGCTGTTATCCAAGACCAGCCCACTGATATTTGTTGTTGAGAGATCTCCTCCATCATCTTCACCGCTGTCTACAGACTCATCCTCACTTTGCCCTGCCATCATAACTTGCTGAACAGCCAAAGTAGCACCATCGGATGACAAAGACTGGAGACTGTCTACATTCATGTTGACTGGAGCTGTAATTGTTACAACAGCACCTGGAGAAGCACAATTGTAGTACTTTAGCATCTTTCTTGGTTTCTGATTTTAAGTAATACATATTTATATATAACAGAGTTTGTTTCTAATCAACAGGAAGAAAACCTAAGGAACTAAATTAAAATAAAAGCTATACAGATTGTCAAACAAATATCAAGAAATGCCAGAATTAAGTTGGCCAGGAATCTTGAATTTAGCTGAGTTATGGACACCCATTACACTAATTCTCCAATCACCACGAGACCATTTCCACAACTTATTCCAGCTTAATTCATTGCAGAAAAATTGAAGTGTTCATAGAGATTCAAGGTGACTTAAATGGATAAAGCTGTTGTCAGATTGAGTGGCGGCTGAGGGAAAAGTGGCTACAAACTGGAAAGAAATAAAGCAGCAGGCGGCAGGACAGAAAGGATAGTCCTGAGATTAAAGCAGTTATTTATCTTTCTTAAATTGAGTCTATTTTTTGAACTGATGCTAAGGAAGTCACTTCACTGTAAGTCTTTGGAGGCTCCATTACATTTCTCTGCTTCTCAGCATACAACTTGAAACACACGAGGCATACACAGAATTGCAGATGCTCAGTCCCTCCAGCAATAGTGAAAAGAATGTGAACAGGATGGGGGAGTCATGAAACTGAAACTGCAGTCCAATACTGCTAATCAAACAGAATGCTACTAACACGCATACGTATACTGAAAGAAAAAAGGTTAGAAGTGCAGCTAAGTTCTGTTGCTTCATAACTTTTGAAACGAAAGCAATAGTCTGTCAAGATAAATTCCAACAAAATACCCCCCCAAAACACAGAAAATTTTTAAAGAGAGAAAATTGACACATTTCTGTTACATTTTTCCAGAATAAAAACACATTTATACTGTAGTATCAAGAAGTTTCCCTCCCCCCAAAGGTATCAAACCGATCATTTCCGTTACAGAGGAATCAACTTTATTATCTGTGATTTAGCCAGTTCTCCTTACCATCCGACATCGTGAGCTCGTTAGATTGCTGCTGAGCAACTCCTGAGGCAATGGAGTCAGGCCAGAACCTTTGAACCGGTCGGTTCTGAGCTGTTTTCTTCTTTGTTTTTGGAGTTTCAGAACAACTGGAATCCAGCATTGGCTGAAGAATTCGCCTTCTAGCATTGATAAACCTAAACACAATCAAAAGGCAAGAAGTACTTATGACCAGTCGGCTATAAATTCTCTCTCTCTCAGATATGCAAAGTATGCAGTGGGGGAAAAAAAAAAAAAAATTAGGAATATACAATCTTATCCCTACCAGCTTGGCTTGACATTCTTTTTAATATGTAAAACTGCTCCTAGAATACTGGCATCCTTTGATTTTGGCAAACTAGCTAAGAAAGTACTTCTATCATTTTGCTGCTAGCAGCATTTCTCCCCCCCCCCCACCTCAGAGGGGGAAGTTCTCCAGACAGCATGACAGATGTACATATTGCAAGATCTTATTAAAAACTAAGCACCAGAAAACTTGCTGACAGCACAGCTCAGAAAGCTGATACTCCTCTCATTAGGGTTCACCTAATATCTAGCCTCTGCCTAACCTAGTTAGTTTTGTCTGGTTTCATTTACTTCCTTAAGCTCCCGCATTACTTATTTTATAGGCTCCCTGGCTTTCCAAGGTCTGGTTCCTTTTCCAGGAGACAATAACAAACACATTTTTCAGATCTTTCCCAATTCCTTTTCGTTCCCTGATTTTCACTTGTTATACTTTAGCACGCTAATCGCTGCCCTTCCCCTTTCTGCTAGTGAACAAGAAAATACTTAAACCACATCTCACTTCGGTACCAGCAGTTAACCGAGTCAATTTCAATGTAGCTAACTGTGGCAAGGAGCTGTGACTGAGGATAGCATCCCTTGCTAAGTCTGACAAAACACATCCAGGACCCATCTTTACCTGCAATGGAAGGAAGTAGGGTGCAGCTGGCAGGTCGACATGGTGTAATGCAATGCTTTGCAGAGACATTAGTCGGATCCCAGTACCATAGAGCTCCGTTACTACCGTGTCACACAGGCATAGTTACACTGTTCCACTTTTGGAATCAGTGTACTGCCACTATCTTGAGTATTTCCCCACTGGACCCCTCTGCAGCCACGCAGCCAGCGTCATCTTTGAAATCTGAGGAAGATCCCTGTTGGGACTTAGCTGCAACAATTTTAGGAACCAATACCACAAGCAGAATAGGATGCATGTCAGCACCTTCATTTCTCTTCTGCAGGGGCAGGCGTATTATCTTAAACCTCTAGTGAAGATTAGACGTGCTAAAACATGTTGAGCCATGAACTAGAGTAGTTGAGGTACTGACACTCTCCATTCAGACATCATTGCTCAGGGGACAGCATCCTTTGATACAAGAGCAGAATGAGTATCTGTTGATGGTAACTTCTTAAACATTTGCAACCATGATTACCAGAGAACACTTTCCAGAGCTTCAGGTCACTAAATGCCTTTAAACTTCTATTTCTTTACTTGCAGAAGAGACATGAGAGTACTTCCATCTCTTTCAGCAATAGAACAGAGTGTAATTCCTTAACGTTGAAAAGTTTTCTGCAGTCCTTATATTATTTAAATGGCACAAGTATTATTATACCTTACTATAAAAATAATATGCTTATGTATGAGTGCATTATTATAATATTTTTATACATATTTTGTAACACATGTAGAACAGTAAGTTCAACTCCAGGTATCCAAGTTACATTCTCAACTATTTCTCCATGTTGTAAGCACGTGGAAACACCAACAGACATTAAGTAAGAGTTTTTGCTCTTACCAATTGTTAACCTGGAGTAGTGTCAGATTCGTTTGTGCTGCAATCTGTTTCTTCTCATCCTCTGTTGGATATGGATGCTAAACAGGACAAAAAGGCAAACAAAAAAGGCATAAGCTTGTTTCATCTCCTCATCAAAAATAAGAACTCCTTTATTACAACTGATTAAAGCTGCTAGATTAAGACCATCTGACTCGTTAAAACACAAACTTTAGAAACCTCACAAACTTTTACAGATAAAAATCATTTAACAAAGAGTGCTTTACTACACAAAACTGATTTTATCCTTGAAAGTGTATATAATACCATTAAACTGCTGATGTCTAATTCAGAAGAAAAAGCTTCTCATAGCTGACAGGCTTTATTAAACAGTGTGATCCCTGGGCAACACAGCATGTGATAAGATCTGATTAGTTATGCTGTCTAAAGGCAGTGTCATATGAGAGTACTGACACGCATTTTCTACTTAAATAAAGCTACTCCAAACTAAACAGATGAAGAGAGTGCATGTAACATACGAGACATACACGCAGTTTCCCTGTATCATTTGTTTGTTGTAAAATAGTTATAAAAGACCAAAAAAAAAAAAAAACAAAAAAAAAAAAATCAATCAACTAAACATTGTGATACAACTTGAGACCCATTTATCCTTTCAGGATAAGTGTGCAAAGGAAAGACATTCTATTGAAAGCACAAGTAGATAGTAAAACACTTGGTACATACTAGAAGGATTGTTGGAAAGGAGATAAAGCCAGAAAACTTAAAATTTTTCTCTCTAAAAAAAACCAACCAAAAAACCACACCCCCCCCCCCCCAAACCCACAAAACACAGAAGGAACCATTTTTCCTTGTGCCATGAACCAGGGTGTAGAGAGCATTAAGTTCTCAACACAGTGAAATGAAGAAAGATCCCTTTTCACAATGTTTATTGAGATCATGAGGTACAAATGTAACACACTTATTAAAACAGTAATAAAAAAAAAAAAAGTGTCTGACATTAGACAGTGGAGCTACTCCAAATGACTTCAGGGAAAACTGAACTGAGATTACACAAATGACAACAGAATAAATTCGCCTTCTTTATGAAGCAAAATCATAAGAGACCACATAAAAGAGTTACGTAAAAACCTGTGACTCCTGATCATGTTCAGTCCTTACCCCTATGTGCTGAAAAAGCCAAGATCTCATCACATTTGTAGCGTGCTTGGGAAGAACTCCTCTCTTATTTTTCGATGAGCCATCATCTTGATGCAAGATGCCTAGATCTTGGTTTAATTGCAACTGAAGCTGCACATACAATTTTAGAAGAAATAAGGCAGTTAACATAGTAATAGCAGTATTCTGTATCAATGTATGAGTAACTCATTTATAGAAGGAATGAAAAGGCTTGAGGCATGCTGATTATAAAAAGCTACTTAATTTGCTAGGGAAGACTTACAATAGCAGCTCTCCTACAATAGCATTCCAAAATGTCTTTATCCAGGGAAAATGCTGTATCAGATTTCTATAGTTTCCACATTTCATGTAACTTCTGTTTTAAGAATTACGGCTGTTATTAGGCTATGTGGCCTTGTGACAATAGCCAAATGTTGATTTTCTATAATTTAGAATAAAATCCACCTATTCAGTATATGTCAGATTAATCCTCTGTATTAATCTACACTATCTTAGGGATCTGATTGCCTTTTCACCCTATTTAGTGATTTGCACATGTGAAGAGCAACTGAAAAACACAATGCTGAATATAATCGCTGTGTGCAAACATAAACAACTATGGAAGCTGTAAAATAGTACTGATTTAAGACTTAAATGAATAACTTCATAAAATTAGTTGTTATGCTAGAGGTGCAAACAAAGATGCTAAAGGTCCTGCTAAACAAATGCATCCAAAATCTCAAAGAGCAAGAAGATATATATATGGTAGAACCCTTAACTGACTTTACAACACTCTTACTATTTTCCTAGAGGTTCATATTTCTTTCTCACTTTTTCTTTCTTTATCACTTCCTATGGATACACCAAATCATTTGCACATTGGTCATCTGAACATTAGGGAATACATTCTTAAATGCTTACGCAGAGATAAGAAGAAACAGCACATAAATTGCATATGAGATTACATTTCAGACAATTATAACTTAAACCATTCCAAATCAGTTTTTTCCAACAGCACAGAGCAATTTCTTCAACCCAGTCATTATGTCTATGTCCTGTATGAAACAAGTTTTAAACGAGGTTTAAGCTATCAAATTACAACAAATATATATTACAACAAATATATATATTTGAAGCATACTTTTATTTCCAAAATAATATTTTATTCTAAATAATCTGCTTGTGTATGTAGGCTTTATAATGAACTTTCAATAACTCTCCCCCAGTATTTTTCCCCTACCTCCACAGCATTCTGAAACACTGAAAAATATTTTGAAAAAGAATTTCCTATGGGTGGCAAGGAACACAGGTCCGAACCTATGTATAGTAGGAGAGTCCTACTAACATCAAGAGTAGCCACAGATATATATAGAAGGTCAAGTCCTCTTTTTGTTTATAGGCTATAGGGACTATTTTCCACTCAGTATTTAATTTTTTTCATCAGAGGTATAAAAAGCATTTTTCTTCAAAACCACTTCAGTCTAGAAGAGTAATTTTACACATTTATTTCTGAAAGGTATCTGAAGACAGAACTGCATGCATCCTAGGGAAGAATATGGGCAAGTACATATATGCTACTGCCAACAGAAATACGATAAGAATACTCTAAGCATACTTTTTCGGTTGGAAGGTCAGAAGAAGGAAGAAGAGAAGACTGAGTCAGTGATTCCCAACAGATTTTATGCTGTGGAGATGGCAGCTCCTCATTCACATTTTTAACTGACTCCGGATTCCTGGAAGATTTGATTTACCACTTCCTGCTACAGGAGAAAGCTAGCAAGGTTTTCCCTAACTGAAGATGGTCTAGTTTTCATGTTTCCTCTTCCTTACTTGTTTCTTTGAGCTCTCCAGATCCAACTCTTAAGAGCCTCCCCCAAAAAGAGTGCTGGCCCTTATATTTTAGGGTATGATATAACGAGCCCAATGTGAGATCTCCCATAGTCTCAACTGAGTATTTTGAAGGTTTTATGGCAAAATGCTTCTCAACTTACATAAATTCTGAAATACATACAGTTTCACAGTACTAGTGGTTGCCATCATGACAAAAAGTCACATTTCTGACAACAGCAGTGTGGCACCATTATGCAGCATAGCAAATCTATCCAGCCGTAAACGTAGTTCAACAATTAGAAAAGTTTTAGTCATCGAAAAAGTGTCTACTTAATTCAGCGGGTTTTTTGGTTTGGTGGGGTTTTGTTTGTTTGTTGGGTTTGGGGGTGGGATGTTTTGTTTTGTTTTTAAATCTGTGTACCTGTTCTTTTCTGCCATCAGTAAAAAAGATATTTAACAGGTAGGAACTACGATGACCTGTCATGGCAAGGGAGATCTGTCTGGGACCTTATCGCACGTTATACAACTTGTAACTCCTATAGAAGAGCTTGCATTAATTTTACATTAGTCACTCTGTGCGGGTACACATAGCTTATTCTGACAGTGTGTCAAATTTAAACTGAAACTCTTAAAACCAGTGAGATTTATTTGAACCCAGAATACTATTCTGTGAAGCCCATGAAACAAACCTGAGAGTTCTGAATCCGAATAGTCCCAGGTGACAGTGCTTGTGTCACCACTTGACCTTGTGGAGTGACCACTGTGACTGGCTGATACACTGTCCCCCCTTGAAACAAAACAGCAACAAAGATTATAGGTAAGTAAAAGGCCTTCAAATATTACTCTCTTTAAACACACAAACACATCAGCACTGCAGACAATACAATGGTTTTGATAATACATCAACTATTCGTCCCTGTGTTTTAGGCATTCTAAATCCATTTTCAAAGGAAAATGCCATGACTTTCAGGCTATAAAATAGTTCAGCGTCTTAACTGAGCTAACTCTTCAGCCAACAAGGGTCACACCACCAAAACCACACCTATGTGTGTCGACTGGTTAGGGCAGTCAGCTGGTATCCAGATCAACCAAGGTGACAGAATCTTGGTGAATGCATAGTGGGTCCTGGGCACCAGAGCCACAAAGCACATATTGTGCCTCACGGTAACCTCTCTGCAAGTGTATGCTGTAGGAGCCGACTACATTGCTTTGTTGCATCTGTAGTCAAGGGTTTTTTCTGTTTGTTTGTTTTAAACCCTTGCTTAGAAGCAAGATAAAACATTTCAGTTCAAGCATCATCCCTATTCGATAGTAAAAACTCCATAGAGCATGAGACAGCTAGGAAGTGCAATATTTTAGGTAATGCATTTTTTTGTCAAACAGAATTGTTTTGTAAAACACCCCAGTCTCTGAAGTGTCTTCTAACAAAAGTAGCATTGCACAAAAAGATCTCTTAATATTATATATATGTAACCTCCACTCACAGATGCATACTTGGTACACATATAAATTAAAGGAACATTCAGAAGCCAGTAAGGTGCTTGACTGTATTGTAACAGCTTTTCAGGTATTAGAGTTAAAACACATTTTAAAAAAATATTTGTGTATTTTTTTAACAACTATAAAAAGAAACCAAAATGAAGACCAAGGTGCCAGTTTTTTCTTCACTGTGTCATACCTGCTACTGTTGCCATAGTTACATTTCCCTGCTGCAATGCTGATGCTGGCACCATAATCCCTTGGGGACTGAGTGTGCCTGCGATGGCACTTGGAATTTGCTAGAAAAATAAAACAATTAGTTGCTTGCATTTTTATTTTTTTTTTTTAAGTTTAGTTGGGTTTTTTTTGAAACAGATAAAGCATGCTTGTGTAATTTTGGCTCTAAAAATACATTTGGAGTCTAAATACATACAGGATTAACTTCAAAGAGAAAGAGACTTCACTAGAGGTTCATCATTACCTACATTAACTTTATCATTATCACCAACCATTACCTTTGAAAACCCTCATGAAAGCAACTGTTAGAAAAGACGTAAAACTATCATGAGAAATTTTAGGAAAGAAATGATTCTAGGTATATAAATACTAAGAGAAACAGTTTCAAAGGCACAAGGGAAAAGGACAGATGAAATGGACCCTTGATGCTCCTATTACAAGCATCAAAGCTTTTCAATTTTAGTTATTACCTTAATCCCTTCAATTTCAAAATAATGTATTATGTATTCAAGATGCCCAGTATGTTTTAGTCTGCTCAGGACAGTTCTTACTCAACCCTGACCATGCAAACTCTTACACATTCCTTAATATGTATGAATAATCTCTGTTGTAACTAAATGCAAAATTCAGTCCCTCCTGTCTCGATAGAAGACTGTAACAGATATACAAAAAACCTCTTTTAAAAGGTCTGATTTTAGACTTTCCTTTCCACACTTCCAGACATGAAAACCTAAGTAAGGAGTTCAGACAGTGAAGTTTAAAAGTCATTGCGGCTTTTCATAATACACAGCATCAAACACATTATTAAGTCAGAAAAGGACCATCCCCTAAGACTAGGTATCTAGTAGGTACTCAGATGGCAGGGCTCACTTTCCAGCATCTAACAGCAGAAGCATCAACCATAACGTACTAACTGTTGTCAATTTACTACAAAAAATGCAATTGGTTATTGCATTAGGTAGTGTCAACAATGTATAAACTGAGATTCACGTGTATAGAAATGGGTATTGTTCATAACTACACAGTTACCCCAGGTCACATGCAATGACATACATCTCAAATATTGCAACTATAATCCATCAGACATTGTCTATTTGTTCCACAATACAGACTGTATAAAAAGTATCAGTCATCTCAATGTTTTAATGAAGCAGACTAGACTAAGGAGACCTTCTTAACAAGGAATTTTTTTTCTTCTCCTTTGTTTATTCTGTTTCCTAGCCACCTTCCAACAAAATTTTAAATCCAGACTATTCTGAATATCTCTATTTGCTGAACTGAAGGAAATCATAAAAGGAAGACAAACAAAAAAAAGTGACTTTACGTTCCGGACATTTCAAGAAGTTTGTCTATCAGGCAGTGGTGCACAGGTGTGCACAAAAGAAAATAAATACAACAAATAGCTCTTTCTACTCTTAACCGATTTTGAGAAAGTGAAAGAAACTGCAGAAACCCTTCAGACTAATAGCAATAGAAGTGTAGTTATAACTTCCTAAGGAGATCTAAGCAAAAATACACTTACCTGTATTTGAAACATACCTGAGATTGCACAGGTGAATAAGGACTTCCAGGCTCTCCACTTAATAGAGTTTCACTGTTCATTTTTGTCTTCAGGCAGGCAATGTAACGACTACAGAAATCCTTACAGAGTTCATTAACCTTTTCTAGCTCAAGCAGATGGATACGTAGAACTTGGATTGCTTTTACCATCTAGGGAGCAAATTGGAAAAAAATTTAGAAACAAAGTAACTGTTAATTTTAAAAATATTTAATGTGAGATTTAAGCAAACACTACTTTCCAGTAACAACAACCATCCAATTAAAGCAGAGTTACTAATTGCCAAGTGCTGACTAGAGTTCCCTAGCTCTGACCATTATGGTCCTGAAATGTGAAGGGAACATGTTTGCATACAAACCCTGTATTCTTCCACTGCATAAGCAAACTACCATACAGGGGAAACAAAACACAATAACAATACAATCTTTGTCTCTGTCACATGCGACACATTAGGAAGACAGAGCACAGTTAAGGTGTACAGGGAGCGCAGAATGAGCCTGCATGTCCATATGATCTTTATCCCCATCATACTACTCTGGGTCATACACCACATAAGACCACACGTGAAGGAAGGCAATCCCATCCACACATATTATTTGGAAAGTGTGGCTGGAACAGGCTTAGTAAGCAATAGTCGTCTTGAACTACATATCAGAAATACCAAGTTCAGTTCCACATTACACCCTAACCCAAGAAACCCGAAAGCTTACAGATGAATTTGAGATAAACTGAGGAAAACCCTTAGCATGAATTTGTCACACAGATTGCTAGGGAGGGTGAAAGGTAGAGGAAATGGCCTGCCATCTCACCTATAACAAAAATACAATAGCTTTTATTTTTCTGTAAAATTAGAATAAAGAGGTCACAAAGTTTGTTACAATGTTCAATGAAGCTTAAAGTAATCAAACAGTTCTTCAGTCCTAGAGCTTCCAAGTTCCTCTGCAATTGTATGTCAAAGATTAAGAACTCTGGGGTAAAATCATGTAAGAACTTTCAGGTGAGGAGATGGTTTCTGAAATATAAACCATTAAACACAAAGCACCAAACCCAATAACAAATCCATGTTTAAACAAAAATTGAAGTACAGGAGACATGTACGTGATGAGAATACTTATCATGCTTACTGCAAGAAAAATACTCATAAGCTTGGATAGCTAATGGTATTACATACTGCATAAAAATAGCTTAGGTTATTGTAAGGGTCATGGCACAAAATCAAAAGCTAAAACCAAATCCAGATGGTCTAAATTTTCACGAAGCAGTAGGAAATCCAGGACATTCAAATATGTACATAACACATTGGCAAAGTAATTACTTTTTTTTATAGAGCGTGCCATCCCCAACATTAACTTGCTATGCCATATCTCCAAGAAAAATATCCTTTGGTTTTATGAAACTGAATAGATTATGATTTTGAAACAGTGCAGAGCTTGATTTTAGCATTATTTAGAAAAATTTGTCCTATATCAAGGGTCATTTACCTGGCCAGAGCGCTGAACCCAATGACCAGAAATGATAGCTTACTAAATAATCCACTTATTACTTCTAACTAAAGAAGCCAACTGGGACCTGAAGTTGCCTTTGTTCAAAGCACCTGAAGGAGATCAAGGCAGGCAAACTTCTGCGTGTCCTCCCCTCTCCACCACAACGACTTTAGCTTTCACTGACAGATCTTTTCCCTGTTTTTTCAGTAAAAGGCATTCCAGTTGTATGACACTCACCCAGTGTAGAAAATTGTATGTTACAATAAACAATAGAAAAAAACCCTGAAGTGATAACAAAAAAGGAAATCTTATCCCTTCTCAAGGCTAAAAAGACAAAAAACCAAACCCACACCATATATCTTTAAAAGCACAGCTGCAGAAAAACCTGAGCTGTAGACTTGAGGCAGTTGATCCAAATTAAAATATGGTAACTCTTATAACCTATGACACCACAAGCCTTTGAAATAATAAGTGTAATGGCCCAGCGCTGAGGTATATAAAACAGCAATCTTCTAAAACAGCCCTCAGCAGTGGTTGCTGTTTAAACTGTGTTTAAGTACCTTTAAACACAACCAAGTTAAACTATGCAAGTTTAACTAGATTTTAACACAAAACAAAGGTCATCTGTGTTTAACGATATTCTGCTCCTTTCAGAATTATTAATGATTGTTTTCCAATACTGCAATAGCCAGAGTTTCAGAGACAAAAAAGCTTAAATTACAAAATTCTTCATGTGTGGCAGACCAACACAGAGCACATGTTAGCAAATGCGTTGAACATTTGGCTAAAACTGATGTAACAAAAATACGCCTTTAGGCACATAACATGTGACCATATCAGTGATTAGTTTTGCTCAGTCAGGAGGTTTCTTTTTTCTTAAACCATTACCCATATTTATATTATTTATTTATCAGCATTTGTTTGGAGGAAAAATGAAAGTCCTTTCTTCAGCTTAGATTTAGTTTCAAATTGATGGTTGATACCTGAAGTGAAAATTGAATTAAAGTCAAAATTAACCATAAACCAAGAATTAGTAACACTACCCAGGTTTCTGCAGAGCCACACACAGTCACACTACTCTTACAGGAAGCTGCACTACTGTGGTTAGGAAAGCAAACAAAACTTTGTAAATATGCCATGCCTGTCACCAGGACTTATTTGCTCATTTACAACTACACTAATTGTGGCCATATGGCTCCTGGTCTCTTGCAGCATGGGTGGACCAAACTTAAAATCTGTTGGCAGAAGTTCACTTTCTCCTTGAAATTAAAAAATAAAAAAAATTAAAAAAAAAAAAAAAAGGAAAAAAGAAAAAAAATCAAGAACTCCTGATAAAATCACCCATGTTGAGCAAAGATAATACAAATAAATGTTTCCAGACAGATCACAGCAGCAGTAATATTTCATTCCTATGTTCTTAAAAGGCATACCTTCAAAAAAATCTGTAACAAACATGTTTTTGTTATTTAGTGCTACTAAGTAGAACATGCCACAGAAGAATGAATTTTTATAACCCACTTGATTCAGCCTTTTCAGCTGTAGAAATAAACCTGGAGCATCATTTCAGAGAAATGCACAGTCAGAAGTAACCATGAGATATACATATATTGTTGAAACTGTTGTAAATAAAGATAATGGTAAACATTAAGCAGAGGAAGACTACTGAAAAACTTCCAGTTCTTGCTAAAACTGCTATCCAGAGCATATTCACATATAAACGTATCATATATTAAATTTGGAGACATCTTTAGCCCTAAAAAAAGCTTTAGATGGTCTTTTCAGTGCCTCAAGCATGTGGTGCAAAGGGCACAGAACACACTATGCACTACCTTAGTCATAACCCCCAGCTCACTTTTGTTTATCTAAAACATATACCCACAATTTTTTATGGATTTCAGGGCATATAACATAAGCATATAGCAAATACATATGTGGACAACATATATGAAAGCATCTCCATATACTGACAAGTAATCTTCTCACTCAAATGACTCTTCTCATTTGCAAAAAGCAATTAAAATATGTACAGTCACAGCTCACCTACCTTCCTAAGCAAATCCCTCTGGGGCGATTTAGGTCTTCAGGGAAGAAGACAAACTCTGGGAGAAGGGGTATTTTGTTTTCATTTGCTTTGATTTGATAGCCTCCCTCCCCTATTTTGAGTTCCCAGCTACGAGACATAGCAAGGAAAGGTATGACTAGAGGTTTATGAAACAGTTCTGCAGATAACAATAGTAAGAACACTTTTCAGAAATGCAAAAGCATGGCTTGTTCACTCAAGAATATTCAGATGACATCAGCCAGCTTTACCACCACTACAACTTTCCCTAACACAACTAAAAATTCAATAGGATAGCCTTTGAGAAGAGGGTACTGAACCAAAAATCCTCACCCCAAATGAAACAAAAAACTCAGGGGTCTTCAAAAAAGGCAGTGTCCTGTTCAAATACAAAAGTGAGAGTATATTTAACAGCCCATGTTTTGTATTGTTTCTAGACTTGATAAAGCCGTAAGTAACCTGCTCTGACTTCACAGCTGACCCTACTTTGTGCAGGAGGTTGGACTACAGACCTCTTGAGCTTGTAATCCAACCTGAATCATCCTATGGTCCTATGAATGTGGGGAAATTAAAAAAGCCACCCATACGTGGGAAGAGTTTACTCTGAACAGAAGCTATACAGGAGGTAGGAACCACCCTGAGGCAACATGATGTTTCTGCAGTGGCTGGGTAACAGAAAGCAAGAAAGAAGTGTTAAGTACTGAATGTCTTAAGACATAATGTAATCTGTGAAAGCTCTAAAAATTATCTGCAAACACTCATGCTGAACAACTTATAGGGACAGGTTCCTCCACGCCTTAGAAGTTCTAAGCACAAAAGGATACTAATGGAGAACAAAAAGAAGTTGGTTCACTGGTTTGTTCCAAGATCTGTTTTATCTGTGAAAAGGAGACAGAGATGTCAAAGGGTAAGGGGCAAAGGTTAAGAAGCTAAGGGTAAGAAGCTCCAACAGATGATACTCCATGTTATGGGGATATAGCTGAGCACACTTCCAGAAAGAAGCATGTGCACTTGGGAACCTCTGGCTAGCAATACAGACCACCAAGATTTGGGTTTTAACAGCAAACAGCTCTTCTGGTACTGATGCTTGATATAAGGACTAGAGGTGGATGCAAAGTAACAAGTCAAAAAGATAAGGAGGAAGTTAAAGCTCTGGGAGAGAAAGCACACTTCCAGTCTAGTAAGCAAAACAGGAGCACAACCTTCAGCTCCTACTTCCTTCCCACAGGTACTAAGATTTGAAAAGCGGAGGTTTGCAGCACTTCTTGCAGCTAATCAGCACTTATATCAAGTTCAGAGAAAAATCAATGGAGACACAGACAGCATGAGTGACCAAGAATCAGAAAGGAGAACAAAACTGTTGAAAACCAAAACATCCCTGTAGAACACATTCCAAGATAGAGGATAATTCTGACTCCATGCTGTGCCACGCGTATCTGTAAGAGCTAAGTATTTACTGTAAAAAATCATAAACTTGTACCTTTCTTTTACCTCCCTGAATAGCCTAACCTGTGTGGTCAGAGTCAGGGAAGTTGGAAGGGAAAAGTTTCAAAGTTCTGTTTGCAGCAAATAGTTCTTGAAAAGCAAGTATGTAACTCCCACAGAAAAG